TCGATTTTTTTGTATCTATATTTAGTAATAATAATCAAAAGTAATATCAGAAAACAATCAAGTTTGCATTGATTAAAATGATTTGAAAATCCCCAAATATATTTTTTTGTAATAAAAATAAATTTAATGTTTAGTTAAATATTTGTGAAAATGGCATACTTGATCGAATGCCACAATTCTGAAATAATCGAGATATATTTTATAGTCGAAATCGTTTTGTGAAAATGTCCATGCCATTTTATTGCAATTGAAATTTTTTATAGTTATATATATAAAATTTAATTATTACCAGAAAAAACAAAATTTTACTTGCGCCAATTTGTTCAACTTTCTGAAGGACAATTAAAACAATTTAAGACAAAATGCCACTTACAACTAGTGTAAAAAATAAACTATTGTAAATTCTCACATTCTTACCATAAAAATGTGGATTATGATTATTTGAGCAATTATTTTAAACCATGTCAGGTATACTAAATTTTATCAGATCTTATAATAGTTAGTCAAAATTGTTTTCATTCATCAAACCTCTTATATTGCAATATAATAAAATATAAATAATATATATAATGAAATATTGTGAAACGAAAATTGGCAATGTTGAATTACTGGCTGAATCAGATAAACTGAGAAACAAAGCAAAATTTTTAGAAATAAAACAAAACAAGCTAAACGAAAAAAAAATATAATTTATGCAATACGTAGCAAAAATCAACACTTATTTGATAAAGGTGCCGATTCCGAGCATTCATTGAGTTTACTATTTATAAATAGTAGTTGAGAGAGTGATGATATGTTTTAACAAATAGTAGCAATACTAGAAAAATGCAAGAAAAAAAAAGCCACACTTCTGGTAAATATTAGGTATTTCAGAACCCCGCGCTCCGAGACGCAGTATTTAGTCCATAAAAGACCACTTTTATGTACAATTTCATTAAATATTATTCGTCATTTTGTAATTTTATCTGATTGCATATAAATAACTGAAGGTACAAAAATAATTGCATTACTGCGCCCGCATGCATATAAACATCAACAAAACTGTCGTTATAAGATAGAAATCTATGAAATGTTTTGACATGTCACACCTTGTTTAGGTAACCGTGTACGACTCGTCAAAACATGACAGATTAGTGTAAAAATACAATATAATATAATAATGACAATAAAAACCCTCTTATTCATAACAATATAAACGTTCGTGAAGATTACCGACAAAACATACGGTCATATCTAAATAGAAAATATCTCAAAAAGCATTGTGGTTCTTAATTCTATTATATCTTCAAGTGGACTCCTGAGAATTTTTTATATATTTGCGTATTCTATAGAAATGTACAGTAGAAAGAAAGAAATGATTCATGTTTTATTTGATATTTTACTTCTGGCTTTTGCAAATAATTGTTTATTTTGCAACTTATGCAACGGTCGGAAGAATAAATTTTTTAGCACTTCTTGAAATTACAAGATTGATGATTTAGACCAAATATGATTAACTTTCCAAAGGAATGGTTTGTTTTCACCAAAAAATCCGTTTTAATATTTTTTTGTTTTTCGAGACATTCTGAAGCGATTGAAACCAAATTTAAAAAAGTATGTGTGCTTGTACTGTTTAGATTAAAATTTTACCTATTTATTACAAAAATAAAGTTTTTGCTTTCACAAAAAACTGTTCGATGCAATTCGTAGGTCATTTAACAGAATGAATGCAAATTATCTATAAATTGCTAATAAGCTAAATAATTTAATTTATTACTTAAATTGTTAACAACTAAAAATGAAATATATATGCAATGTACATATATTAATAATGAATTAATATAATCCAACATACCTGTGCTCCAATTTTCCACTTGTTCGGGAAGTAATAAATAGATCCATTCTTTTTGAAAGTCACAACGAATCACCTGATCACCAATGATTACCTGAAAAATAATTGATATTAATGAAAAAAATATAATATTATATTATAATATTAATAAAAACAAATCATATAAAAAAATAATCAAAAATTGTATAAATTCTTACATATAATAAACAACTTTGTATGATATACTACCTAAAAAAAAAATTATGCTATGGACTTTTTATACATCAATTTTATGATTTATGAAACAGCATTCAATTAAATAAAATATTTAAATTATTTCTAAAAAAATTGCAAGACTATTTAATTTAAATGATGTGAACCGTGTATAAAACTCTGCCATTGAAAAGTTACTAAATACTGAATTCGATTGTGTTACGTAACTAAATCTAAAATTGCATAGAACCAAGTCTTACTTAAATCTATTTGGTTTATTAAATAAAGAAATAATTAAAATAAAATTAAATTTGATATATAATTATATGATAACTACAGTCAACCCACCGATAACGAGGTGATATGAGAAACTCAAAATTTGTACGACACCAAGAAATTCGAAAGATGTAAATTGTTATCAATTGAAGCGTTTATATAAAGTTATCATATAAAAGGTGAACTGAATCACTATTTTCTAATTAAAAAAATTTAAGCAGATTATTTTTAACAAAGAAGATGAAATAGACTTTAGTATGGAGAACTTGATGACAAACATTGTCTTTAATTAAATTGTTTTTAATGTCCAAATGCTTACTACTGTCAGATCTTTTTATTGCATAAGCGGACGTTGTACAATCTCCCATATAATATTATGAAGTTACTTTAATTAAAATTATAAATAAGCTCGATAAAAGCCTGAAATAATATTTATTATCATCATTTGCCTAAACTATGTCTGATTATTATTATTAGTTACTAAACCCTATGCCATGCACATTTTATATAACAAGGCCTGTTTAAGAGAGCTAGTGGCTTGTTATAAGTTTTTTTTAGTTAAGATATCTTGAAATTCACTAATAATTTTTCTACGAAACAAAGATGAATAGTTGCTGCAACTATTCCTCTACCGATTCAAGTACAAATATATCTAGAAATGCTTATCATTGCCAAAAATGACAGACCTGCTGAGTTCTGTATAATGCGTTGGCCTGCGAGAAAGTACCTATGACAATATTTGTCCAATCGACACAAAACAATTTAATATCGTCCAAGACCTTTTTGAAAAACGCCTGTTACTAATTACCCCTGTTGCAGATAGACCCTAATTCACGTACACAAACATGTCGTAAAAGATAAAATAACCGCTAAAAATTTTAATGTAAATATTTTGCATCAATAGCCAGATACTTATTAGAACTTATGGGATGGCGACCGAAAACCACATCTTAGGAGTACCATGTTATTGAAGGACGCCTCAATTTCGTCACGTTCCTCGTAAATCGCGTTCCCAGAAGGTTGACTGTATTGATTAAACCTGGCAAAAAAGCAATACTTACTTTTCATACTTTTTTTACGAAGAAACCAAGCACAGACGTTTATACTACTATTACGTATCTGTCCTGATTTTGTTTATCTCGAACATGCAACGATGGCGGCCCGATTGCTTTATCATTCAGGCCGCCCATATGCCGATGTGATTTCTACCAAATGCAGAAACAGAATGAAAGAGGTTCCTCGATCATGGCCAGAATTTAACATAGATCAACATCGCTGCATTGTAAAGATAGGTCACTTCGGTTGGTAAACAACGGTTTGAAGTTGTATCAATATTAAAAATATCGATAATCGATTATTGTTGGCATAGATAAAAGTGGTTAAAAAAAGAGTTTATAAGTGATTGTTGTTATGTGAAGTGTTTATAAGTTATTGCGTTTATAAGTGATTGTTGGTTTACTTGATTTTAATTTCTATCAATAATTTTTTTTTAAAGTGCACGTAAATCATATGAACACACGGTATTCTAATATTGTCTAGGATCATAGATAAATAAACATAAAAACGCAAGTGATCGGTCAAAGTTTTCAAAAATTAATATTATGCAAATATCATAAAATTATTAATAACTAGCTGTATTTACAACTTCGTTCACATGGATTTTAAAAACATGTTAAAGGTTTTCGCATTTTTGTAAAATTTGTTGTACAATTTATTTTATAGGCCAATACAACAACAGTTCTGGCCTTTCTTATGCTATTAAGGAGTTTTGACCCAAATTAATATAATTACATATAAATATCTTTCAAAGGTGTGTTCAGTGGTGTTGAGCCAATATTTTTTTTACCGGAACGCTAATATTTTAAAGGCCGACTCAAAAACTGGTTCTACCAAAAATCATTAGAAACTCGCTCACGTGATCAATGGACGCCCCCTAATTACAGATATTATAAATGTATTTGAGATGTATCAAACCGGAAATCGCATTAATTAAAAAACTTTAATTTCAAAAATAAATAAATTTCAATTTTGGTTGTTGGTCAAATATTACACATATTAGGAAATTTATGTAACTTGCCCTAATGCAAAATGCCACTTACACCTTGTTCATATAATTTATATAATTAATAAAAGTGAAGAAAAAGTCAACGATACGTGGTGTTCCCAAGCGGTCTCCCATCTAAGTACTACCCACGCCCGATGTTGCTTAACTTCGGTGATCGGACGAGAACCGGTGTATTCAACATGGTATGATCGTTGACGACGAAATATATTCGTTCAAGGGTATAAGAAGTATGATTTACAATATTTTGATGTATTATTATCTTCCAATAACGATGAATTAGAATCTATCAATATAAAATAAATATTATAACTTGACTTCCAAATCCAAACGCCAAATACAGAACATATTCCAACATATTTTTCAATGAATATCGTCTAATTAAAAAATTTTCTGGCAAAATCGGTTCATAATTCATCATTGAAGTATTTATTAATATCTTAATCAATTTTAATATTGTTTAATTAATAGTTGTGGCCATAGATAAATAAGCATAATAAATAGATTGAGGCATCTTTCCTTGGCACCCAAAACTAAACTATTCACACTTCACACCTATGCTTCACACAATCTCCAAAAGATGGGCACGAATTATCCATCCATATTATATTGTCTAGGTCTAGTAATCAATCCATTATTATTATATTGTTTAGGAGTCAATCATTGACAATTATAAATGTATATTTTTAAGAAAATATGAAATAATATGAACTATAATATAATTTTACAAATATAGGGTAAAATATAATTTGTTAACACGTATTTTTATCTCATAAATGTAAGTATGAATTGTCTGTACAAATATTAAATGTATAGGATTATCAAATTGTTTAATTTTGAGGTTAGATTGATATTGTTCATATATTTTTAAGAATCTAATAGAATCATAATATTAATTGCATTTTTGTTTTTCCTCTAAACTAAAAAAAAATCAGGTTATTATAATATCACATGTAAAGTTTAATCAGAACTTTATCTTTTTTATCCAAAAATATCAATTCTCTAACACAAAATACATATCCTCGTTAGAAAACACTTGACTCAGAGTATTAATTAAAAAACTCTCAAAGTTCATCTTTAATTTACTTGTTGTGACTAACTAGAAAGAACTAGTGTAAAAAGAAAGATTACTCTCCAATTTTCAAAAATACATGCTACATATTACAAGTTTTTTAGTTCAAAGTGATATTGGTATTATTTGAATTAAATGATATTTTCTTAGTCATAACTACCAAGTAAATACTATCCTTCGCAATCCTATTTTTTTTTTTTGGTAAGAATACTCATTTTTAGAGAGTTTTACTGTACTATCTTCAATTTCTGCAAAAAATTTGCTATTGATACCTTCATATATTGATACAATGCTTTTTTATGAAAATTTGGTGTTCATTTTATTAGAAAGATCTTTATTTGAGAAACATAGCAAATGTAGCAAGAAATCTGTTTTTTAGAAGAACCATGTTATACGAGGGTTACCTGTATTTAATTCGCCTATGAAAGATCAAATTTAACTGTAGTTACTCTTATATAATGTAATGATAATATCAAGCTAAATTACTCTTTTTTAGTATATATAATCAATGATTAAATTTGTCTTTCTCTTCATTATTTTAGATTTTTCCTTGACCATGGCCCTTCTAAACAACCTTATCAAAACCAATTTAATCATGAACAACATGTCCAAATTAATTCACACCACATCAGTAAATAATGAGGTACAAAAATTGACCAGGCTAAGAGTAGTAGACAATAGCGAAATAGGTAAACGAGCTATGGCTGAAGGCAAACCACCTAGGATTATTCATGTATACAGCAAACTTCGGAAAGGATACATAGGAGACCGGGTCCTAGTAGCAATTAAAGGTGAAAAGAAGAAAGGAATCTTAGTAGGACTTAAACAAAATCAGAAACCTAAAATACCGAAATTTGATAGCAATAATGTTGTATTGATCGATGATAGTGGAACTCCACTGGGGACTAGAATTCATGTGCCAATTCCACATATTTTGAGGACTATTCTGAAGGAAAGAACACAAGCGAAAGGAGCGGATTATACTAAATTATTGGCAATTGCTACAAGATTTATATAGTTTTCTTTATGTTATAGTAGTATTTATGTTATGTGATTTTGGTTATAAATAAATCTATAAATGATTTGAATAGTTGTATATAAATGCTTATTATCAAAATATTAAAATATTTATTTTGACCCATGATTAACATGCAAAATTTTTTGTTATAAGAAATTTTTAACTAAGAATCTGAGAAAAATATAGTGGTGAACAAAACATGATAAAAATGCATTAAACAGATAAATTAAAATTTTTGGTAAAGAATTTAATCAATTTTAATATTAGTATTTATTATTAACTTATTAACCATTTGTTTCCCATTCAACTATTTTGCATTTTATTGTGTGTAATACAACATTTGAATAATAAATTAATCAGCAAGGCAAAGCAAAAATATTTATGGTTTAATATCTCCAATGTAGTCGATTATAATGCCAATAAAAAAAACTCCAAATTTATTTCTTACAAGTTGAAAAGTCTTTGAGTGAGTAATTGTTTTCTCAAAAGATATTAAATGTTATTGGTTAAACATAAAAATGTTTTATGGTAGAATAAATTATTTCAGAGTTAGTCTGAGTAATATTAATTAATATTCATTAATATTTATTACTACAATTACTACTACTATTATTATACTATACTATATATTATTATACTATAATATATATTATTATACTATACTATTACTACTACTACTATTATTATACGATTTGCCTATGCAAATTACAATATATTGATGATTATTTTAATGTTTGAAATTTTAACTATATATCATTAATAGTGATTGTGCATTTATATATGTTGAGTTCTCGTTTTTTGCTTTTTGTACATTTTACAAAATATTTACTTTTATAACCATGGGTCCGAAGAAGAAGGACCATGTCTCTTGAATTAAAGCTTGAAATTATATTGAAAAATATAAGGATGGCGAAGAATACATTATAGATTTCTACTATGTTTAAACAGAAGGAGTTGATAAACGGTCAAACTCTTACTAAGGGCCTTATAATAATTTCTAAGCTAAAGCAGCTTTTTAAGCTCTAAAATATTGTGGATAAAAAGGCACCCCAAAAAATTCTGCAATATCATTAATGGACAGGTAAAACCAATAATAAAATCAATAAATAGTAATTTTATTTTTAATATTCAAGAAACTCAAGAAGTGCTGGAGCGAATTAATGGCATTTCAATGTATTTATATGGAAAAATTGCTTCGAGATACGAACGATTCGACATACGAGCTTGGTTACGGAACGAAATAAACTCGTATGTCGGGGTTCCACTGTATTTAAAATAATAATAATTACGATAAAAAGTCTCAATGAGAAGAATATAAATAAGATGAACGCAATATCTAGAATAATTTATAAAACAGCTGTGACCTAAATGCGACCCCAACTAGTACCCGAAAGCTCCGCGCGATGGCCGCGCTGGTTTTTGTTTACGAAAAAAAACAAAACAAAGCAAAGGGTGCAGTGCGCGAAAGATGTAACAATGTCAAAATAATATAATATTAATCCTTTCGCGTTTTCGCGATGTCAAATCGAAATCGCGATGACTTCAATAATAGAAGTGATTGGATGTGATTTAATGGCAGACTAAAATCTTAGAGGGATATTGTCAAAAATGAGTAAATCCGCTTCAATATCCGAATCCTGCGGAATCGTCTGCACAGAAGTGTTTGACGAGGCATGCAATCCTTCGCAGGAAGGTAATAAAAGACAAATTAATTATTTTATTTTTTTTTAAGTATTTATATATTTTGCGTTATTTTTAGTGTATTGATAGCATAACCTAAATTTAGTAAAAAATCAATAATTTCCTGTTACGGCGCAACTGTTTAAGTTAGCGCCGGCATATGGAATGTATTTTTGTTACAGGAGCGTTCATGTTTTATCTATTTTTAAACTCACTTATTCAATAAAGAAATATGCTTAAATTTCAGTTATAATTGAACTGAAAATTTTAAAAATATGATTGACTTTTAAACCCATTTTTTTATTTTTATAACATTAAAAATGTATCTTTGATATAAATTCTTTATTAATTTTTATAAAATGTTAAAAGGGAGTATATAAATGATATAAAAATTGAACGAATAATTTTTTTTTTCATTTATATTTTGACATAATATTTCATATTAATTTGTAGTCTGATAATTATTTATAATATTAGTTAAGTATTTATGATATTAAATTGCTAAAAGAATAAGGACAGCGCGACATTTTTTTATAAAACGAGGGAAGGGGCGCGCTATGAAAAGGTTGGGAACCACTGTATTAGTGTATTATTAGATAATAATTTAATAACAATTCTTTTAGCTATCAAATTATTTGCCAAAAATTAATCTCGAATTTAAAAATTCTAAGTATATTACGTACTTAGTACTTACCATTTTGTAAAAAATAGAAAAATCAATGATTTGAAAATGCACAAAAATGCAATAAATAGATGATAAAAGCATTACTAAATAAAATTCACTAATCAGATCTGTCTATAACTTATCATTTATCTATCGGTTACTTTTTTTCAAAATTTACCTCTCAAACAATTCAAATTAAACTCTATATACTCTTTTTGCCTCTTTGGGCAACCTGATTTATTAAATTATTTGAATCGGATGGTGACTTTAGATTTTTTAAAGTTTCTGCCTTTATGGAAAATTTGGAAGGATTTTATTAATTTTGCTTACAAAAGTTCGGGTCATCATGGTTCAATGCTCTTTCTCTACGGTAAATTTGAGAGGGTTTTTCAAATTTTTGCTCACAAAAGTTGGAGTCACCATAGCCCATGGCGGCCGTCTCCATGGGAAATTTGGGAAAGTATTTATTTTTTATTTTTATGATATATGAAGTTATCACAATCATCTGTATGTAACTCTTTTCATTATAAAATAATACACTCTTTTTCATAAGTGTATCAAGAAAACTTAATGTATCAAAGAAAAATAAATCTAAATTTCTTAAAACTACCTATTTTTTATATCATACATATATGTCTGACATAGCCCTATATTAAAACCTTTTTTCTCCTACTACCAAATCGCGTATGTCAGACACATGACTGACATGGCGATTAAAATTAAATGAGAGCTTTTATAAATATATTGCATTTTATAAATATATTGTATATATTATATACAATAATTCCATCATTTTTCATAATTTTACTTTTTTTAAAAAATAATATTTACAACCGTCCAAATGCTGGATTTTAATATATCTTTTATCGCGTTTGATTAAACACGAAACGATGATTTTTTACTTGATTTTTTACGAAAAAGTTAATATTTTCACTTGAATAAAAGTTACAACTAAATTGCAAATATATTTTAAATATCACTGATATTAATCAACTTACAGAGATTGATCGATATGCCTTGAAAATCGGTCTGGATCCTTCCGAGAAACATCTTTACCACCTAGCCAAAGAGGGATTGATGGAACCATTGCCAAAACATTGGAAACCTGTGTAAGTAAAGCAAACAAGTAATTAGTTAGGTATAAATATTTAGTTTATTCTAAAACATGTTGTAAAATTAGCAATTTTACGGTTATGCTTGTTTCAAAGTTCAAAAATATTGGTGACAATTTATTACAGTTTATTCAACAAGCAAATGATATATTTTTATCAGACCAAAATCACATTATTGCCAATCCCTAGTCAGTATAATAATTATTGAAGCCTGAAGGCATATCTAGTTGTTGAGAGCACTATTTGTTTCATGCTCCCAGGGCTTTTCAATTTGCTATTTTGTCTGTAATAATTCTTCCATTTAGGCCGAATTATAATTTGAATTTTTCAATATCTAATTTTCAGCTGCGATGAAAATACTGGCGCTTTTTACTATTATAACAAAAACACTCGTCAAACGCAATGGGACCATCCAGTCGACGAAAAATATAGACAGAAGGTTAACGCTGAAAGAGCCAGATTAAAAATGAATTCAAAAATATCTTCGAATCACGAATATTACAAAAATGATCCATTATTAACTAACTCCTTTCCTAAATCCAACAAATTTCCAAATACCGAACCCATTCAAAGTTTTGATACAAAGCCAAAAAGATTAGGCCGCTTCTCTGATAAACATTTTTTACAAAATGCCAGCAAGGCTGAAGTCGTTGAAAAATTGTCCAGTGATTTAGTTGAGAAGAGCGTACATTTTAATTTAGATAAAAATTATAAAATCAGCTTATCAGAGAGTGATGGTGAATCAAAAGTTGCTTCAACAGATAGGTCGGATAGTTATGGTGAAAAGTATGATTTTGATTTTGTAAAGGACATCAAAATTTCTATGATGGATAAATCTAACCTTGAGAAAGACGTTGAAAATGGAGCATCTTCAATTTTGACCTTCAGACCTAAGGCTGAAATATTTAATAAAAATCCTTTCCAAACGGATATTGGCAAAAACACTTTATTACAACCCATTAAGAAAACGGGGTACGTGCAATCTCATGAACAAGATCGGAATGGTGCTAAATTTAAAGAAAACTTAGGAAAATCGGATAGTTTTCCTTATAACGAATCTAGTCAAGATAAATTTCCTAGTCAAGGAACTGTGAAAAGTCTTCAAAGCAGATTTTCTGTCCTGACGAATCCTTTTAAGAAGTTGCCGCCGTTAGGAAATCAAATCGGCGAACAGAAAAATGTTGAGACTGATAATTCCAAAGATGAAAAATCAAATGCTTCCAAATTTGAAGATAAGATAAAAAAATTGAGTGAAAAATTAAATACTGGTTTTGCAGAAGCCACTCGACCTGGTATACGCCAAAAATCAATAAGTGTTGATGGCGAAAGTATACAGAACGATCTTATTAAAAAAACTTTTATAAAAGACAACGAAAAAATTGTGCAAGATGACAGCATGCATTCGCTTTTGAAAAAGTTTGAGTTAAGTAGTAGTAAAAATCGTGATGAAAAGAATGAAATTGATCTGTTAGGAGAACATGCAATTGATGAACAAAAGTCTGCAATTAGTTTATCTTATTGCAATACAGACATTGGAAGTGATAATAAAAGCAATTCAAGTTTTTCAAATC